TCACGAGGATCGTGGCCCCATAGGAGCTCCACCGAAGTCCCCAGTGGCAGCCTCCCTCATGGCTCTTAGAGCCCTCTCCTGCTTCTGCTCCTCGGTCAGGGGGGCGCCGTCCTCGTCGTCGTCGGCGCCCGCGAAGACGGCCACGGACGTGTCCCTGAGCATGTCGGGCTCCGGCGGGAAGTTGTGGCCACATCGGGAGCGCGGGCGAAGATGTTATTCACAGTTGCGGTAGTCACAACTGCGTATGGTTGGGTCTTTCGCCAGGCTAATTTAAACGAGCTCTGGAGACCTTGGATCTGCCGCGTTACTGTCGACATCGTATCAGCACCCATGTCGAATCCAATCAGGATTGTCTGGGTATGGGGGTCTGCTTCGTTAGTGTTGAGATCCTGTTAGAGCCATGCTCAAATCAAATGAGAATATGGTGTTTGTTCCGTTCCGATGGGAATTTCATCAATATCCAATTAGGAGTACAGCAACAGTCCCTTGGACCTGATGTTTGTTCAATTCGTAATGGAAGTTTATTGTACCTCTACCCAAATCCAATAGGAATCCGACCTGTAATCTGATCTATTCCGGTTCAGACCTAATTGTAATCTGATTCAAATCCGACGATGGCCTCCAGACCTGACGTGCCCTCCGTTACCATTGCAAAAAACTTGGTGTCTTACTCAAATCCAGCGGGAGTCCTCAGGATCTGGGATATGATCCGCTCCCTTCGGAATATTATTCGAATCGTGTTCCCATGCAGAAAGGACTCATGTGGGTCTGATGCATGCTTCGTTCCTATCGGGGTCCTTTGGAACCACATCCGAATCCAACGATAATCTTATGGATATGATGCCTGCTCCGTTCCGATCGACGTCCTCTTAGAATCCGTTTCGAACACACTAGACCGGGCTCCTTGTCATTGGAACTGATCAATTCACATCGAGATCCGATTGTAGTTCTATTGTAATTCGATCGGAATCCTCTAGGTCTGGGGATTACCTAATCCCATGGGCATCTTCTGGAATCCTACTCGCATGCAATAGCGTTTTGTAAAAAAAGGGGGAACGAGAGTGGTGGAAGACGAAAAGGAAAAAAGATGAATGCGGAGAAGAAGAAAGGATGATGCGCAGAGCAGGTGGAGAGAAATATGGTAAGGATGATGAGGAGGGAGATGACGATGAAAACGCTTCAAGATCATATGCAGGATCTCAGGGAAGAGACAGGGAATCAGCGCTGGACGAAAGTGGTTGGAGACGAGAAGAGCCAGGATGAATGCGGATAATGATAGTGCGCAGACATAGTGAAGATACATATGGCAAACTTGAATGATAAGGATATGAGATGTTTGCTTCTGCTCTGGGACCACCATGTAGCTTACACCCCCTGAACTTCACTTCTAACTCCCGACGCAGCTTGCACCACATAACCTCCACCGCATAAAACATTTCATCCGCTCACACCACATAGCTTCCACTACGTAGCTTACACCTTATAGCATTCGCCTCCACAATGCATTCACGCACGCATTGGGGTCCAATCAGGCTAATATTGACATGCGTGTGTGTATGTACCTATACGACCGCCCTGTGGGCGATAAAAAAAGGTTGGGGGGGATTGAGATCAAATGCCCGCCCTGACTGACCTCCAGCCTGTCACCTTGATCTCATCTCTCTCTTTCTCTCTTTTTTTTTTCCTCTCTCTCTCTCTCTGCGTTAGCGCCGGGACGCCCGGGACACCCGGGACACCGCCCGGCCCAACTGGGGCACCTCCCGGCCACCGGCGGACGGGAAACGGACTTTCGCTCCTACTTCGGCCTAGCTACAGGAGGATCACGCGCAGCTTCGCCTCGCCCGCACGCGCGACACGAACACGAAACCGAAACCGATTTCCCGATGGGGGGTCTCCGTTTCACTGCGATCTCACCGCCCAACCTCCGATATATATATATATATGTATGTATATGTATATATATATATATATATATATATATATATATATATATATATATCGAGACAACAAAACGTAAAAACAATGATTTCCCAGATAATGTTGGCACCGAAAAATCTTACTTGTGTGACTGACTGCATGGCCTGCGGTTCCAAGTTTTCGCCTGGGTGGAACCAATCGGCGCCTCATGAACACCTCGCGCGCTGGCTGGTCGTTCCAGGCGTTGTGCATGTGGGCGCCCGTGGACGCCTCATGCGCTGGCTGGTGGTGCCAAATTTTGGGCTGGTGGGGGCCCGTGGGCGCCTGGCGCGCTGGTTAATATTCCTGTACGCGCACATATATTGCACCACGTGTCTTGCGCCCACATAAGTTGCACAAAGTTGTACGCAACAATCTGCGCCGCACTGATCGCATGCCGTAAATTGCGCATCCCTTCCTGTCCAGGGAAGGAAAGATTCGGCGACCCTTCGGAATCCCGCCTGATCGGGCTTCCCTGGGACAGTGCACGTTACAAGTGCTTCTGCTGCGTTGTTCGTTTTCCGTATGCAGCCATGCCATTCCAGCCGCTCTTTCGCGTCATCCCTGTCGAATTGCACAATCCGCGAAGAATCGTTCATAGCAGTTAGCCATTTTCAAACACCCCTGCAACACATACTACACAGTCCACACGCGCGCGCACATGTCGAAGTCACATCGGCCTGTGAATTTTGAAAGCGTTTCAACACAAACGCTTGACAATCCCATGGGTTTGTCATTGAACCTGGCATGTCTTCTGCCCCGCGTGCCTTCGCAGACATCATAAGATACACATGCGAATGTAGCAGCTTCGCCCACCACCCGCAACGCCATCTCAGCACGCGGTGCATCCGCGTTGATCCAGCATGCGCCCAGTGATCAAATCCATATTCAATAGTGGTAGCCATCGTGGGTCCAAAGACAATGTGTTCCAGCGTACCATGTGGTGCAGTCTATGTGGGGTAGGCTATTTGGTGCAAGCTATGCAGTGAGCAATCTAAGTGATGCAATTCAATCTGCTGGACATGACATTGTCGACTCTGCTGCTCGCCCAAATATACCAACCCACCGGCCCGCAACGTGGTTTGAAAAACCCATGCGGCGGCGATTGCGATGACTGCTGGGCGCTGGCTGGCGCATCGTTGCGGCCGCGCTAACGCGCGCAGGCTCGCGAGCAGAGCGGCCAGCTAGTGTGGTGCGACCGACGAGACCGCGGTGGCGGTGGCCACTTGCCAGCGCGTCTCGCAGGCCGCGCTGACGTGGGCAGTTTTGTGCGAGTCGGTGGCTCGGGCGGGCGCAGTATCATGGCGACGTCGACAACGGCAGACACGGTGATGATAGTAGCGCTGCTGGTGGCGATGGTGGCAATGACGACGGCAAGGTCTATGACGGCGCCGTGCTGATCACGCCGATGGCGATGATGGTGTTCACGTGTCGGCAATGAAATGAAGGCTTCGGACGTATTTCGAAATGCGCGCGCGGTCGATGCGTGCAAGTGGCCCGCATGGCGTCGTTTGAAAAGGATCGTGCCCGCCATGCGCACAAGGGCATTCGAATGATTCCGAAATGCTCGCGCGAGAGGCCAGTTTGGTCGCATGTGATGAACATGTTGGAAACAACCTATGTGTTTCTAAGAACTAGCCAGAGCGCGTGCGCAGACCGTTTTTGTTGTTTTTTTGATGGGGTGGGGTGGGGGTGGAAACAGAAGGTTGTACAATGTTTTTTTCTAGGTTTCGGCGCACTCAATTTTTGGAATCCCTGCGCGTACCCAAATTGTTGAAAGATGTCGTCATGCGCGCGCGAGAACGCGCGCGTGTGCACTTCGTCCCGTTGTTATTAACGGCACTCTTGCACACCGATGGTTTTCAATACACGAATGCGCGCGCTTAACATTTGTTTGCGAGCATGATGGGGGGCATGCCGATTTGGCTGGGATGGTATGCGCTCATGCGGACAATGAGCGATGGAGCAGAGTCATATCCACATTGCACATCCCCAGGGGGGCGGATAACACTGGGGGGCTGTGTGGTAGATTCTGCTATGCAATCTATGTGGTGTAGGGTATGTGGTCCGATCTATATGGTGCAATCTATGTGGTGCCATCTGTGTGGTGCAAGCTATGTGGCGCAGTCTGCGTGGTGCACGCTATGTGGCGACGGGCGGCGAAGTAATACAAAGGAACGCAACGCAATGCAAAAAGCAACGCAATGCAACGCATCGCAATCCAAAACAGTGTAAAGCAATGCGAAGCAACGCAAATAAAGCAATGCACGTCAATGTAAGGCAATGTAACGCAACGCAGCGAAGCAATGCAAAGTAACGCAAGGCTGTGCAACGTAACGCAAGCCCAGACGGCGACGAGGCGGCGACGGTGACCACACAGGCGCCAGACCGACGGACAGGCCCAGAGCGACTGGGCGGCGACAAGGCGGAGACGGCGACCACATAGCCGCCATACCAACGGTCAGGCCCAGTACATCAGAGAAACAAGACCCCTTGCATGAAAATAGTGCTTGGGGATCACATCTGTGTGTGCGTAGTTATTTCCTTATCTATTTACTTCTAAGTGAGTAAGTGAGTGTGTGTGTGTGTGTGTGCCTCTCTCTCTTGTACTCATGCACATGCATACATGAGAACGTATAAGTATATCTATACGGATAAGTATGTACTCATACACATCACCTATACATTATCCCCCATTCTATTCTCCTCCTCGCGACCCTCTGGACCTGCTGGTCCAACCCCACTCGTACTCAGTTCTAACGAGGCTAAATCATCTGGGCTGTAATGAGAACACGGAGCCCCTCCCGCAGAGAAGGAAGAGCGGCATGAGCACGAGAAGAGTAAGAGCATCAGTACCAGCAGCACCAGCAACATCAGGCGCAGCACACTGGCAACAACGCGTGGACAAGGAGCGACACCGCAAAGGAACAGCGCCGGCGAGTAGAACGAACATTGAGGATGCCCAAGTTCCTATCCAACATGTGGTGAAGATGCAAGAACTCACAATGAGAAAGAGTACGAACTCCATGACATCAGCCAGTCACACTGCCACCCTCCTCCGCGAGCCGCCTCTCCACCAGCAGCTCGGCTTGCCCCCTGGCTGGTGCTGCTGGGGTGGGGATCCCGTCTCTGATTCGGTGAGGGCGTGGCTGGTTGCGGACAAGGAAGTGAGGGGGGGGGAGGATGAGGAGGAGGTGGCGGGGAAGCAGGAGGATGAGGATGATGAGCACGCAGGAGAAATGAAGAGAGAGAAGGAGACAGGAGGATCGTGCCGCAAGTCATGGGGTGCAGTGTAATGACGTGTGCGACGACTTTCCTTCCAAAAGACCAAGACAACTCCTCCAAAGTATGTGATGTCTGGTGCTCGCCCAGTGGGCTCAGTCAGGCTCCCTTGCAAGCGGCTTCTGTAAATAAAAACCGATTGCGCTCGCCCCATCGCGATGGCAAATCGTAAGGCTGATGGTGGCCACGTAGCGGACGTCCCCGCAACATCAACCAGACTCATTCCGCGCACACGTGATGATCCCTGCGAGAGCGCGCACAGATGTCGCCATGGGGATGAAATAGCGCGCGGTCAACATTTTACTACCCCTTCGCACTATGCTCTTCATTACACAGGCGCCACCTCATGCGGCTTGATTCACCAGTGATGGTAGCCAAGAAGCACCCTTTCAGTTCCGCGCCGCAACAACCCATCATGGGCAGGAAACGTCCACGTGCTGATTCGCCTGCTGCAGACTCCAAGACTCCGTGCAGACGGGCACGCTGAGGCGGTCGACGATGCGAAGTCCGCCGAAGAGCTCCGCCTTCCGAGCGCCACGCGTCCAGCTTTGAATGCCCGCGCGAAAATGCGCGCGCTGCGCGACGAATCCCCTGTCCCCGTACCTTGCGCACCCTCTCATCACGTGATGAGACATGGCTTCCTGCCGGCCCTCCGTGGGATGAGCCGCCTTCGCATTGCTTCCGACGGCTTCTGCCGAGCGTGGGGTGCCAACCTCTCTGCCCCCCGAAGACAGCAAGGCCCTCTTGTGGGAGTGCCCTGTCCGTGTGAGGATGACGGGGATGAGGAGGTTTTGCGCCGCACAGTGTTGATCGATGAGCCGTCGCCGCCGCCGTTTTTGAGGCTCCCGCATGGCTTTGATTGCGGGGAGAAAGGGGGGGGGGGCGGGCCGGGGGGAACGGCGCGCTCTGGCCCTCAAATCGGCCATCGAGGCCGACGAAATCGCAGAGGGCCAGTCTGCCAACCCTCTTCTTTTTCTTCTTCTTCTTCTTCTTCTTCTCCTCCTCCTCCCCCTTCTCATTATCCTTCTCCTTCTCCTTCTCCGCCTCCTCCCTTGCCCTTTCATCACCTCTGCCCCTTTTTTTCTGCCTCTCCTTCTCCCGCCCCCCCCTTCCCCTCCCCTGCCTCTTGCATCCTTCTCCGACGCCCCCGTCCTCCTCTCCCTCCCCTCGTGCCAGCTTCTTCACCCTCGCGCTGCCCCCAACGCCACTCCCCTGGCGCCTGGCGGCTCGACCTCTCCGAGACGTGGGCCCTGGTATTATTATTATTGTTATTATTATTATTATCATTATTATTATTATTATTATTATTATTATTATTATTATTATTAATATATAAAACACATTTTTTATTTTTTATTTTTACTATTATTATTTTTTAATGAAAAATAATTTGTTTCTTCTTCTTTTTTAGCCAGCATGACCGCCCCCAACTGTTTGTTCTTGCACGGGTGTGCCCTTCCCCTGGACCGGCTTGTCAGCCCGAGCCGTCCCTTCACGGCCCCGGGGCCCGCAACTGGCCCCCGAACGCCACAGGCAGAACCTGGTGAACGCTGCCTCGGCTCGGCGCTGCGGCACTGGGCGGATCAGGGGGGCCGGGGGGGGGGTCTGGCACCGGACCTCTGCTCGGCGCGACGGCTTGCAAGCCGTGCGTCCCATGGGGGAGACTCCACCAGCTTGAAACAACAGGCGCCTGGGAACAGCCAAGATCCACTCCATGGGGGGGGGGAGGGGGCGCGAAGGCCAGCGCCGATCGGCAAAACGAGGCACAAGAAGGCGATCGCCGGCCAGCTCGGTGCTCTCGAACCGCTGGGCGTCGCCCGAAGAGGAGGAGGGAGGAGGGAGGAGGGAGGAGGGAGGGGGAGGAGCGAGGAGCGAGGAGGAGGGACGGAGGCAGGAGCTGACCTCCGCCGCTTCGCGGGCGGGCTGGAGTCGCGTCTCTCGTCGTCCTCGGCCGCCGCCATTGCTCGCGGCGGCGAGGGGCCCCCGACGGCCGCGGGGCAGAGCAGCTGGAGCCCGAGGAGGAGGAGGAGGGGAGGAGGAGGAGGAGGAGGAGGGGGAGGAGGAGGAGGGGAGGAGGAGGAGGGGGAGGAGGAGGAGGAGGAGGAGGAGGAGGAGGAGGAGGAGGAGGAGGGGAGGAGGAGGAGGAGGAGGAGGAGGAGGAGGAGGAGAGGAGGAAGAGGAGTAGGAGGAAGAGTCAAGCTAGCCAGCTCGAGCGAGTCAAGCATGGCATGCCCAGTCCCACCCGCCCTCCCGCAAGATAAGAAGCAGGGCCCGCGCAACCTGGGACCGAAGTCGGATCGGCAAAATGGTTTGCCACAGCTGATGCAGCCGCGATGGTGGTTACCGATGGGAAATTCCTGGCGCGTCTCACAGACTGCGCTGGAATTTCAGCACGAGCCGAGGAAGCCCCAGGAAGCCTCAGGAGGCCCCAGGAGACCTCAGAAGGCCCTAGGAGTTTGCAGGAACCCCCAGCGAACCCCAGGAAACCCCAGGAGGCTTCAGGAGGGCCCAGGAGACCCCAGGAGGTTCCAGGAGGCTCCAGGAAGCCCTCGGAAGTGTCAGTAAGCCCCAGGACTCCCAGGAACCCCCAAGATGCCTCAGGAGGCCCCAAGAGGATCCACGAGGCCCTGGGGAAGCCCCGGGAAGCCCCAGGATGTTCCAGGAGACCCTGGGAGGCCCCAGGGGGCCCGAGGCGCTCGACGAACTGGCGAACGAAAAATGTGCGCCGCACCTTAGCGGGAGTGCAACTTTCAGAAAACATGCGCGCGGCGCCGGAGCGGGAACGATATTTTGCCCTGTCGCGCGATGTGCACCGCGCCCCATTCCTGCCACGCATTTCGCGAAGCCGACGACAAGAAACTCCTCGCTGAGAAGAAGCATGTCGACTTTGTATGAATTTTTGATAGGTAGGATGGCCGCTCCCGCTTGGGGTTGCCCCAGACGTGGGCGCGGCGCGATGTGCGCCGCGTCCCGCTCCTGCTACGCATTTCGCATCGTCGACGACACGACAGACCATGTTGACTGGAACAACGGGAACTTTGTATCTATTTTTATGAGTCAAGATGGGAGGGCCCGGATTGACGTCCGCGCGCGATGTGCGCCGCGTCCCGTTCCTGCCACGCATTTCGGATCGTCGACGACAAAACAGGCCATGCTGAGAGAAAAACAATGACTGTGTATTGGTTGTTTACAATTAGGATGGGAGGGCCCGGATTGACGGCCGCGCGCGATGTGCGCCGCGATTCGTTTCTGCTACGCATTTCGCATCGTCGACGACAAGACAGGTCATGCTGAGAGAAAAACAATGACTGTGTATTGGTTGTTTACAATTCGGATGGGAGGGCCCGGATTGACGGCCGCGCGCGATGTGCGCCGCGTTTCGTTTCTGCTACGCATTTCGCATCGTCGACGACAAGACAGGTCATGCTGAGAGAAACAACGACGACTTTGTATTGATTTTTTACAGTTCGGATGGGAAGGCCCGGATGGACGGCCGCGCGCGATGTGCGCCGCGTCTTCTTCCTGCTACGCATTTCGCATCGCCGACGACAAGAAAGGCCATGTAGAGAGAAACAGCGACGACTTTGTATAGCCTTTTTACAGTTCGGATGGGAGGGTCTGGATGGGGCCGCTATCGGCCCGTCAGAGGGGGGAGTAAGAGTATATTCTAATACAAAGAATAAGGATAGGAGGCGGAGGAGGAGAAGGAGGAGGAGGAGGAGGGGGAGGAGGAGGAGGAGGAGGAGGAGGAGGAGGAGGAGGAGGAGGAGGAGGAGCACGAACACGAGGAGGAGGAACGAGGAGGATTACCGCCACGCTCTGCTTTGCCGCAAGCTAGTACTTGGAGAAGTGCCGCCCTAGAACGCCCTGAATGCGAGTTAGAAGCCGGCAATCTCTTTTTTTGGCGCGGGCTCCGCAAGTGAAACCTCTCTGCCAGTGTCCGAGCGTGTGCCGTCGCCGCAGGGGGAGGCCAGACAAGGCAGCGTGGCGGAGGAAAGGGACGGGAGACCACCTCCTCCACCTCATCCTTGTTTTTGAAGTTGCGTGGACCTGATGCCATAACATGTGGCGTTCCTGAACAGGTGTGGAAGGTAACGTAACGCCGACTTGGCGCGGGAAATGCCTGGCGGGCCCCGCGGAAAAAAAGCGAGAGAACAAGTGTGGCGACGAGGGTCGAACAAGAGTAGGCACCTCATCCTTCTCCTCGTCCTTTCCTCGATGCTGTTGCCTCGGGGGCCATGGCCAGGCGCAGGCTGGGCTGCGACAGTGTGCCTCCTGGTCATGCCCACCGCAATCTTATAGCGGCTCTGGTACAATCAGCGGCAGAGCCCTGAGCAACAGGCCAGCACCATATCCAAACCAGACTTCATGACTGCAGAGAAAGTATACAATCCAATGTGCAGACACCAACACATGCTTCTTGAAAATGAGCGCTGGGACAGTACGGAACCAATACATAAGCCTGTGATTCGCTCCCCTTCGACATTCATCAAACCGTCCTCTTAGTCTTCCTGTGACGGCCGCTGGCCAAACCCTGCATATCAAATCATACCAGACCTTGGTTGTCGATTTGCATGCATTCCGAAACTTTGCACAATTCTGCGCGCTCAAAATAATATTCCTCAGAGGTCGCTATGCGGGGCCAGGATATAACGGGGAATGAAGGAAGCACACAGGGTCGGAGGGAGGACGTGTAAGCAGGAACAGGGGTGGGGGAAGGGAGGGAATGGGAAAGATTTTGAGGGGGAGACAAAGGTGATTGCATCGTACCTGGAGCCTGTAAGGCCTTCGACACGCGAGGGAATACCCGAAAGGCGCGTGCAATCCTGGGCGTTTGCTTCAGACAGACATTCAACCAATTGCGCGGGGGAAGGGTCTCTCAACTCCTCACCAACTCGACTCGGCGCCCTTTTCTGGCTACGCTGCGCGCCGCTGGACGCAAGTTCGGTGGCAACTCATGGGAGCCTTCCATGCCATCTTGCTGGCTCCTGCGAATCGACGCTGTTCAACGCTATAATCGACGCTGATCGGCGCTGGCCACATGACTGTTGACTCGAACCCCCTGCCATACTTCTCCAAAAGCAATCAACAATGCAGCGGGGCGAGGGCGCTGGGCACTTCATAATCTTGGTCTCTATCTGCTCGGGCGTGTCGGTGAGGAAGATCGCCGACGTCTCGTCGGACGCCGACATCTTTCCCTGAGGCAGCATGTGACATTTCATCTTACAAGATCTACCGGGGATCGTCTGACCGGGGTCAATCCAGACCCGGGTCAGTCAGGCCTTGCAGAATCCTGCAAGACCCTGCAAGATCCTGCGCCTAAGCCCGGGTCGATGCGAAGGATCCTGCAGGATCCTGCGCCCAGACCCAGGTCAGTGCGACCCTGGCCCTGCAGGATCCTGCAAGATCGGGCGCTCTGGCTGACCCCCGTTTGCAGTGACCCCAGTCTCTTGAGCCCCGAATCCACTGTGGTATCTCCGCGCAGGCTTCAATGTCGTCGACATCTTTCCCAGAGGGATGATGTGACATGTCATCCTGCCAGATCTACCACGGCATCCCCGCGACGGCTTCCATGGTCTGAGGCTCCTCCCTCTTCCCTCCTCGCGCTCTGTTCTCTCTTGCAACCTCGTGCCTCCATTCGCTCCCGGTGCGCCCCCACCACCTGCCACGACCAGCGCCACGTGGCGCCCGCGGACTTCAAAATGTGGCACTTCGTCCGTCCCATTCGTTCTCTCGTCCAATGGCCTCTCGTGTTTTTTTGTTTTTCATTCTACCGCTCCCCGTCTCCATCGCGACTGCCTCTCATGCCTGCTGTCCTTGCTTCTCCTGGGCCTTTTGCAACATGCTCCTCTTTCTATCCGCCTTCAACTTCTGGCCTCGACGGAATCCCCTGTCGTGGCTTACCGTTCAACCTGCAGTTATCGATCCCAGCGGACATCCGTAGCAGTCAAAACAATCAATGAATGTCCGAGGAGGGGAGAGGAACCGCCGAACGATATCGTTAGCGCCACAATTTTATGAATCAAGCAATTCCGCGGGGGAGCGGGGCGGTGGGAGTAAAATGAGCAAAACAGCCCAACGGATGCCTCAAGACGGCCCCTTTGGAGGCAAGGGCCCCCGCCGACAATCCAAATCCCTGAGACGGCCCTGAGACAGTCTAGACATACCGTAGAGCGTCATCCAATAAAACGTTGGATATGCTCGAAGCCCATTGAACAACCATAGGGGTACAGGCCTCGGAAACAAAATAGCGAACACGCATGCCGCATTCATCCGTCCACGCCTCCCTCTCCCCTCAGTGTTCAGAGTTGGCGGTGGGTCTGATGGGTTGCGCTTCGACCGCAGTCTCCCCCGCGCGTGCCAGCTTTGAGCTTGGGGGAGAGGGGGAAGTGTGCACTGATTGTTTCCCTCTGCCGTACCATCGACAAACCACCGATCGAAACTGGATCCTCCATCGCACCGCCGCGCCTCCGCCCCGGCTCGGCCGTGAGGCGCACGTGCCGCCCCTGGGCGCCTAGGGGATGGGCCTGCGCACCGCAGAGCAGCGACGCGCGGCCGGTGCAGTCCGCGCAGTACGATGCAAAAGGCACCGCGCTGCAGTGCAGAGCAGCGCAAGACGACGTGAGCCACGGCGCTGCAGCGCCAACGGCTTCAGTGCAGCGCAGAGCCAGGCCACGCAGTGCTGCGATCACGGCAGAGCGGCGCAGGACCGTGCGCGAGAACCTGCTCCAGGATTTTTCCCGGGGCGTCTGCCTGCCCGCCTCCCCGCTGTGGTTTTTCTATCCGCAGCGACTCCTGATCAGAAGCTCATCTTTTTCTGCCCCCCTGAGGCGGAGACCACGACAAGGAATATCGCCCCCCCCCCCCCCCCCCCCGGGCCAGCGTTACTTAGAACCCGGCCCCAGCCCTCAGGGCAATGGCAAGCTGTGAACCTGAGCAACCGTGGTAGGGATTACCCTAT